TTCTGGCGTACCACGTCATTACTTTGAGGAAGTTTTTGTTAGTGGTGTTCCTTCATTCGTTAACACTTAAAAAAAACATGTTCTTGGCATGCTGTATATTTTTCACTTAGTGCTATTCATCACAGTCAGTTTAAGTGCTTCTTGTACTTGACACATATCTCCTCTGATAGGATTGTGAGTTCTATGCATCCAGGAGCCAGATGTGCCTGATTTACTGCTGTCTGTCTAAAACCTGAAAGGCAGTAGGTACATAGCAGATGCTCACTGAGTGCAGATATGCAAGCATGAAGGAAAGCATTGAGTTGGCAAAGATTGTAGTTTTGTGCCAAAATGTTGGAACAGAAGTTAAAGTGCTCCCACTGATAGATTGGAGAAACAGCAGGTAGGAGAATATCTCATGATGGGCTATAGCCTTCAGGATTTGTTTTGAGATGTTCATTGGAAGCAAGAGGTACGTTTCACTGAGGGAAGGGATGTGATGAGAGGATCAGAAGGCCCGGAATAAGCATGGGAGATGGCATAAATTCAGTAAAGAAAGGAAAAAATGAGTCATGGAAGGAAATGATGTAAGGACAAGAGAAAGAGAGAATGAGGGAGACCAGGAAAAATAAACTCAATGCTATAGAGGCCAATATAACAGAGTGCTAAAGAATTCTCAAAGGCACAGTTTCAGTAAAGACTAAAAGCACTGAGAAAAGAAGGATGGCTTAGGTGGTGTTTTGGAGACAGGAGGAACGTTTTGGTTGGCTCCATTTGGTAGTTAGTGTAGTTACTGAGGGCTTTGATGAGTACAGCCACTGGTTCTAGCTGTTGAATGGTGAAGTCATGGAGAATTCTACGGCTGTCACTTTTTGAATAGGACTTTTGGTATGGGATGCATCTGCTTATGTTGAAAGATATATGAAGAGGTGAGAAAGGACCGGCTAGAGAGGCGGGAGAATGTGAGCAGGGAAGAAAACTTGATCCTCTGAGGCCTCCTCTGAGCCTGCAGTGTGCTAGTAAATTTTATTATGAGCTTTAGTCTTCCAAAGAGCTAGTGAGGTAGTTGTTAAATGCCCCATTTTACTTCCTGGGGCCTTCAGGAGAGGTGTGTTGCGATGGTTATGAGTGGAGGAGTCCACGTGTGCCCCAACCTGTGTTCTTTGTGTTGCACTCCTTGGCTGTTGGGCAAGAGTGGAATCTATAGCACAATGTGCAGTGTTGCCTTACTAGGAAGCTGTGCTGTGGGTGCAGGCAGAATTGTGTCAGGTCCATTCTGCACAGCTTTATTCTGTGGCCTACAACTAACATGGATAAGATGTAAGGGAGATGAATAGGACTGGAGAAGATCATGTGATGAATGTGGTTATGGCTAGGAGTGAAACATGGGCATGGAAATCACCAACCACTGTGCAGTTCTGGAGAGGGGCTCCACATAGTTATACAAGAGAGGTGAGAGGGAAATAAACCAAGAAAATAAAGAGATATCCACAATAAAAGCCACTAGGTATGATTTCATGTCTGTATAGTTGTACTTATGTATATGTGTGAAAAGAAGGGCTTGCTAAAATGGGTATCATGACAGCCAGCTCATTTGAGTGATTACAAATGATTCATTTGTTTTGATTTTCTTTGGAGGGGGTGTTTCTTAGACCTTTCTATAGTATGCATATAAGTACTTTATATATGTGTGTGTGTGTATATATATGTATATATACACATACATACATATAGCTGCTTCTGTTGTGTGGAAAAGAACTTTTTAAACTAATTGTTATTTTTAGAGAGGACTCAGAGAAGGGATTAAAACATTTTCTTTTTATGGAGCTAGTGAGACAACTCAGTGCTTTCCCCACTAAGGTCTCAGTCCTATCAAATGCAAGGAGAAGATCAAATAACCTCTTGAGTTAAGGTCCTTCTTTTTCAACTCTCCCTACCCTACCCTGTTGCTGGAAGTCTCCATCAGTCTTGGACCTAGGGCTTTTTCTGGCCACGGGCGAGGGTATTTTAGTTTTCAGCTGGCAGTACCTGGAGGTGTTAAGGGGTCAAGACCATGGGGGAAGCCTCAACTGGTCAGGAATGGGACTCAGTGGCTAACGGCCCCAGTTTTGTTTGTTTGCCTCACCTGACTGCTTCAGTGTCCCATGTACTAACGTCTGTCCCATCTCACTCTCTGTTCCTACCCTGGTGCTTCTTGGGATCACTCTGCCTCTAAATTTTGACCTGTGCATTCTTGTCACAGGGTTTGCTTCTGAGAGATACCAGTTGGTAGCTGGGCCCTAGCACCAGTAGTGTTCCATGCCATGACTGGACAAAGCACTTGTCTGCTTTCTTGTCTGCAGAACAAAGACCAGAGCTCAGGAACCTCCCAGAAGTAATATCTGAATGAATGCTTAATGTTTGCTATGGTGAATGTTGACAAAGAACTGCTTTCTCTTGTTTCCCCACTCTGCTACTGAGTGAGGGACTTGTGACAAAATGACCCATAGCCTTGACTCATAGCTTCGCTTTGCAGATGTGAAGTCGGGCCGTCAGCAGGGCCGTAAGTGACAAATTCCCTCATGCAGCTCTGGACTTGAGCAACAGTGATCTTACCCACCCACTTCCCTCATCTGCAAGTCATCTTTCTGTTTCCTGAGCCAAATTTCAAAGGGCTTAAGCGGCTTTCCTCTTTTACTCCCTCAATGTAGTGCAATTCAACGGCTCATGGGCTGTGCAGCTGTCCTTGAGGGCATGTGGTAGATCTCATCCTTAATTGGAATACACACCAAATTGGCTGTGTGGACCCTCCAGCTGAAGGCTAAGTGGACAATTGGGCTAATAGCGAAGCAGGATGCTGCTGGACTGAATGAGGACTTCTGTATGTTAGTGCCTCTGTTTGCAGAAGACAAGCGCATAGGGAGGCTCCCTTTGAAAACTGAACCTTGTGGGCTGCAGGCATCTTTTACAGACTTTCTCCCCATGCTTCACTGGCCCAATTTTCTTGAACCAAGGGCCCGGGGCGATGCAACTGATTCAAGTGAGGATGGGGATGGGAACTTGGAAATCATTCTTGACTGAAAGGTTCTTAGAAAGAACCCACTGTCATAATAGGGGCAGTCTCTGATGTTTTCCCTTACTTTCTTCTCATGCATACCTATTTCACAGTGTTGTTTTACTTCCTACTTTTATAACAAGTGAAAGAGGAGCTGGTGCTGTGGTATAGTAGGCTAATCCTCTGTCTGGTAGTGCCAGCATCACATATGGGTGCCTGTTCAAGTCCCAGCTGCTCCATTTCTCTTCCAGCTCCCTGCTTATGACCCGAGAAAGCAGTGCAGGATGGCCCAAGTCCTTGGGCCCCTTCCTGCACCTGTGTATGAGATGGAGAAGAACCTCCTGGCTCCCAGCTTTGGATCAGCTTAGCTCTGTCCATTAGGGAAATGAACCAGTGGCTGGAATACCTCTCTGTAAAATCTGCCCTTAAAAATACATAAATCATAAAGAAATAAATATAAACCACATTTTGATCCATACAACACTGTTATTTTCGTTAACTCTCATTGTTTATCCCAGTTACATTCTGCTTATATGTTTCCAGAATGTATCATTGTAGGAAATCATTGACTTCAGCTCATTTTTAAAATATGAATATGTATTTTATGCTTGATCTTTTATATAAACCTCTTAGGCTTTCTCAAGTTGTTTTGGGAATACTTTGAAATATGGAACACAAATGAGTGAATTCACTAAATGAATGAGTGAGTGAGTCCATGGTGCTATCAACCCAAAACTGCTAATAGCACTAAGTGTACTAAGCAAACAAAGGCGGAAGAAAGGTCTTCTTAGCGCATGTTCTTGCTTTAAAAGTGGTACCATGCTCTGTGAAATAATTGAACAGGAAAACATAATTCTATTGTTTCTTTTCCAAGTTCTGTTTTAAAATCATTAACTCTTTTCAAATGTTGTGAGCCATAGCTTTAAAAAAAAAGATGATTAATGAATTTAAGAACTTCTGTTATTAACATTCTTCAGAAGTGAGTGGTCCTAACCAAAGCACAATAGTTTTTTGGTAAACCCAACTTCCTGTCGAAAAGAAAGAAAAATCAAATCATCAGCATAATAGAAAAGTAAATCAGATGCACATTTTCGTGAAGACTAGCTTCTCCTTCTCCTGCTTCATTTTGTTGTTTGAACTGTCTGCACCTGCTGTATTTATACCTCAGCAATAAGTTTTATGGGCCTCAGGGTGACAGAAATCTTCATGATGTTGATTATCACCTGCTAAGAAGGGCAATTGTTTAGGAAGAATGAAAGATTTATCTTCTAGACTGGGGTTACCAGGAGTGGACCTGTCTCCAAAGACTTGGTTTGTACTTAACCTTCTCCAGCCAATGGAAGGTGCTTCAGGGTATGATTGGAAGCTGTGTGCTTTTTTCTTGAGGGTGGAGAAGTAGACAGCTCTACTGCTACCAGCCACCTAATGAAGTGTTTTTTTTTTTTTTTTATAAGGTCACCAATAAGGTTTTCATTTAAAATCTAGGACTTTACTCCAAACGCCCAGATACTTAAATTCATTAGCCATTTTCAAAGAGGCATGTAGTAAACAGGAAGTGCTCTAATGAAATCGGGCATACAGTGTCCATCTCAGGACCCAGGTCACATGAGATTTGGATAGTTTTTTTCCTAGACTTTTTGGGAAGGGATATAGTAGGGTTGAACTGAATAAGGATAAAAGAATGAAATTATTCAAAGAAATAGCCTCAGGCAAAGTGGTCACCGGCCAAAAAAAGAAATCAGTGGAAGATTAGTTTTGTGTGTGTGTGTGTGTGTTTTAGGACAAATACAAGTCTGAGCGTCACACAGCATGTTTAATTTCAAACATCTGAACCCAGTATGCATTTCCAAACATTGGTCAAAATTTGGATAGGTTGAATGGAAAAAAACTACCCGGCTTAAAGTTGAATCTGGCTAATTAAAATAGCACATATCGAATTCTGAAATGAAAAATGAAAACTGACCATTATCTTGGTTTCAACTTTCAGCTCCTGGCTAAGCATAAAGGCTTGCAATGGAACAAAATTCTGCGCCTGGAAGAGGTACAGGCCCAACTAGGGATTAGTCTGGAAGAGATGCTGTCGGTCACAGAGGATGCCCTTCATTCTGATCCCTATAGTCCTGAGGAAATCTGCATGTGTCTTGGAATTAGCTTGGAGGAACTCAGAACACAGATCCTGAGTCCAAACACTCGAGATGGTGAGTTAGTTAGAGGAAGATCAGGGTATGAGTTGCCCCCATTTACAGCTGGAAGGTTTTCCAACTTTCTAGTGGATTCTACTGATTGTAAGGCATACTTGAGGGAACTTAGAGAATGCATATACATTGGCAAGATGAACTGTGTAGATCCTTAATAGCTTTATACATTCATTCATTTATTATAAACATTTCCTGATGTACTATATGCCAGGTACTCTGGCTATGCAAGGTGAATAAAACACATGATTCTTGACCTCAAGAGGTTCGTAATTGATTTATCTATTTATTTATTAGGTAAATAAAGAGAGGATTGGGGGAAGATGGAGAAAGGGAGAAAAAGAGAGAAAGAATTCCCATTTGATGGTTCATTTCCCAAATTCTTGAAATGGCATTGTGTAGGCCACACAACGGGATAGAGAGAATTTCTAGGAGAATAGCCTTTCCCTTCTGACTTTAGACATTGTCTAATTTCTTTAATTCATAAAATATGTGTTGTTTTCTCTGGACTGAGTATTGTGCTAGATATTGATATACAAAGAAAAACACATGGTTTTTACCTTATAGTGACTTAGTGTCTAACTCACAGTAAATAATGCCTTCTGTAACTTAGGTATTTATCAGAAGTCTTAAAAATATGGAGTATAGAGTAGATGAGTGTCTGAAGCAGGTGGCTCCAATTTCAGCTGGATCCTTAGTTTTGAAGGCTGTTTGTCAAAGCATGATCCATGAGGGAAAGCTGAAGTTGTTTTCAGAGCCTGGAGAGGTATGCATAGATATCAGGCTTGGGAGACAAGTCAGAAACACACACTGGAGGAAGAGCTGAGGAATCTGGGAACAGTAGATGAGGGATAAGGTAGAGAATGGGCCAGGTGATATGGTTGCTAGTTTACAAAAGGGAAAATTTCTTGGAAACATTTTTTGATGAATGTTCAAGCTGTGCTCAGAGTTTGCATGGCTTGACAGCTTAACTGTACTGTGTTGGGTTGGACACAAGTTTCTTTGCTGGTATTACCACCTTTGCTTACAGCCCTATGCATAAGGAGGCCAGTTCCTGATTGGTTTGGATACTGTGATCTCTAAAGTTATGAATGATAATAATTGGCTTTTGATCAATTACTAGGCCCTGGCATAGATTGTTATTTAGGATCATAGGCATAACTTGTTTACTTTTTGGTTTACATATTACACACACCTCATCCAACTTGGGTCTACAAACAACACTGGAGCACATGTTTATCCTCAATTCAGATGAGAAAACTGAGGTGAGGGAGTTACAAGATTGTTGAGATTGCAAGTCATAGATATTATAGCCACACTCATGCCAGTGTGCACTGTGGACTGGCTCAGCCTATCCCAACCCACATGTATGCGTTGGATGGTGCAGCCCAGCTTGACCTGGCCTTGCACTCACCACCAGGAGCTGCAGCCTAACAGGGGAGTTCTCCATGTTCCCCTACCAAGCCCACTCCCAGCCCCAGATCTTAGAAGTGAATGCCGGTGCTGAAGCATAGTCTGACATGGCTAACTCCTAGTCCTGGCACTCACTGGAGGGTATTGCAGCCTAGCTTAACTGGTCTGCATAAATTCTGACTCTCAGCAGTGGGTACTACAGCTTAGACCAGACTGGTCCATCCCCAGACCTGACTCTTTTTTTTTTTTAAAGATTTATTTTTTAAAATTTTTATTGGAAAGGTGGATATACAGAGAGGAGAGACAGAGAGGAAGATCTTCCGTCCGATGATTCATTCCCCAAGTGAGCGCAACGGCCGATGCTATGCTGATCCGAAGTCAGGAGCCTCTTCCGCGTCTCGCACGCGGGTGCAGGGTCCCAAAGCTTTGGGCCGTCCTCAACTGCTTTCCCAGGCCACAAGCAGGGAGCTGGATGGGAAGCGGGGGCCACTGGGATTAGAACCGGTGCCCATATGGGATCCTGGGCATGCAGGGTGAGGACTTTAACCACTGTGCGCCGGGCCCCAGACCTGACTCTTAATGTGACACAGTGGGTGGTGTGACCTAGCCCAGCCTGCCCCAACCCATCATGTCTCTTGCAAGCATCAGTGAGTGTTGTAGTCTTGCACAGCCAACTCTGCCCACAGCCTCAGCTCTTGTATTCACTAGTGGCAACTGCAGCCTAGCAGAGGAGTCCCCAGAGTTCCCCTATTAGGCCCGTTCTCAGCCTCAGATCTTGTGTGTACTGGTGAATGCTTTGAGTCAGGCTGGAACAGCCGGTCTCAGCTCTCACTGGTGGGTGTTGTAGCCTAGCCTAGCTCTGATTGTCCACAGACCTGGCTCACAGAAATGCTAATAAATACTGTGTCTTTGGCTGGCTGGGCATGTCTCCAACCCCAGCTCTTTTGCTTCTCCGTAGGAGCTGTGGCCTAGCAGGGGAGTTCCCTCAGTTCTCTTACTAGGCCTACTCTCAGCCCTGGATCTCATGTGTGCTGGTGGGTGCTGCAGCCCGGCTTGGCATGGTCTGCCCTCAATTCCAGCCTTTACATGTGCCAGCAGGTGTTGCAGTCTGACACAGCTGGGTCTCCTGCCAACCCCACTCCCACAAATGTCAGATGAGATCCTGTCGGGTGAATTCTGTGGTCCAGCCTAGCTCTGCCCATCACCAAGCCCAGGTCTCAGGCAATCAGCAGGTGCTGTAGTCTCACAGAGGTGAGTCTACAAGTCCCCTACAGAATCTGCCCCCAGATCTGGTTCTCTGGCTTTTCAGTGGGTGCTGGGCCAGCCTCATGTGGTATACCTCCTGTTCTAACAGTCATGACCGGGTACTGCAGCCTAGTTCAGGCCTGCATGCCCCCAAGCTCCAGCTTTGTGTGTGCTCGTAGGTAGCAGGTGATGCTACGTAGCCCAGCCCAGCCCAGACCAGGTCTCCCACAAGATCAGATGCCTTGGCCTGACTAGATAGGACCTCCAGTTTACCCTTTCTAAACCACCCAGTCTCAGCTCACTCATCTAGCTAAGAGTGCAGTGGCCTCGTCTATGGGTGCTCCCAGAAGTCATTCCTCCCATGTCAAATAGACCCTTAACTACTCTCACTCCACACATGTCCCCAGAACCCCTTCCCCAGGCAGTCTGCAACCCCCTGTGTGAGGACTGGGGTAGTATCTTCCAGCCTGGTGTTCTCTGCCTTACCTACATATCTTTAAAAATAATAATAAAATAAAATAGGCAACTGTGCTGGTATACTTGCATAGTTAACCCAAATTTGGCATTAACCAGCTCCAGAATGCCCATCAGCTATTGCCTGCTTTTTTACTAGTAGTGTAACACTTGCCTAGGTACAATGCAGCCTAGGCTGTTGCCCACAACTGGAGCTAAATCTATTTTAAATCTTGTGTATTTATAAGTTGACTTTGGAATTCCTGCACCAATTAAGGGGGGATACTGTCTCACTTTTACTTTGCTTGGCTCTAGTTACACAAGCTCTTTCACAAGGAGTTTGTCTTTTTGTCTTGAGACTAAAGAGAGTTGATGAAATGGGCTGCGTTGAGGACAGTTTGTTTGGGGCTGGTTGTTCCTTGGCGTTTGAGCCTTAGAAGAGGGATTGCCACATGGCATCCAGAAGCTCAAGTTGGCCACGTGGTACATGAGTGCAGTGTAGGACTGCTGTGAGAACTGATAGAGGATGTTCATGTTTTACCCGAAATATGGTTTTCCTGCCAGTGCTGTGTCACAACAGATTAAACCACTGCCTGCATGGCTGATATCTGATATCTGAATCCCAGCTGCTCTGTTTCTGTCCCAGCCTCTTGCTAGTGAGGCTGGGAAGGTAGCAGAAGATACCCCAAGGGCCCCTGAAACCCACTTGGGAGATGTGCACGTATCTCTGGCCTACTGCCTTTGGACTGGCCCAGCTCTGGCTTTTGTGGCCATTTGGAGAGTGGACCAGCAGGTGACAGATTTCTCTCTCTCTCACCCTCTCAGCCACTCTGCTCTTTCAAAACATATATACATAATTTTAAAAATACAGTGCTCATAGACGATCTCAGTTGAGTAAGTGAAAAGCAGTTTGCTTGATCTAATGGAAAATTATATAGATGTTCTGCAGTGTACAAGGGGTCTGTTTTTCAGTAATTTACATTTCTAGTCAAGTTTTTTTAGATAGCAAATAAACTGATTTAGAAACAAGATATCGGCCCTGGAGTGGTGGCCTAGCGGTTAAAGTCCTCGCCATGCATGTGCCAGGATCCCATATAGGCATCGGTTTGTGTCCCAGCAGGCTTGCTTCCCATCCAGCTCCCTGTTTGTGGCCTGGGAAAGCAGTGGAGAATGGCCCAAAGCCTTGGGACCCTACACCTGTGTGGGAGACTGGGAAGAGGCTCCTGGCTCCTGGCTTTGGATTTGCTAAGCTCCAGCCAGTGCGGCCACTTGAGAATGAATCATCGGATGGAAGATCTTCCTCTCTGTCTCTCCTCCTCTCTGTATATTTGACTTTCGAATAAAATAAAACCTTAAAAAAAATTAAGATATTAACTTCTAAATTCTATGGGCTTGGATTAGGTATTGAATTAGTGTATATCCCAAATTGAAATGTCTGGATCCTGACTCTACGTGCCTACCTACTCAGTGCCTGGAAGGCAACTGTGATGGCTAAAGTAGTAGTTGGATCCTTATGACCCCCGTGGGAGATCTGGATGGAACTCCTGAGTCCCACTTTGTCCTGGAGCAGACCCAGCCACTGTTGGTATATGGGGGAGAGAACCAGTAGGTGGGAGTTTTATTGTCTCTGTCTCTACTAAAAATAAAAAAGAACCCATGTATGATCCTAAGAGAGCCATTTGTTCTTGTTGGACTTTTTGAGGAAAAATTTCCCATTGAAAACTAGATGAAGCTCCAAAGGCTGTTTTTAAAATCAATTAATTAATTACTTTTTCATGATATAGTTCCTTAGGCTCAGAGATTTCCCCTTCTACCCCTTTCATCATTCTTGGCATATTTATTTTCCCACCTTCCCACACCCACCAAACTGTGTTGGTTTCTTGACCCTGTGA